GGGCCCCCCCCCCCCCCCCCCCCCCCTACCGACGTCCCGTACACGTCAGACGCACCATTCTGGAGATGTAAGCAGCTCCCTCGCCGTTCAGATTGGCATCTGCAACGGACGAAGTGCAGCATATGGCCATGGAGGAGAAGGAGAGCCGCAGTGCGGCCAGCGGGGCGTCGCCCGACAGCTCTCCCACCACGATGGTTAACGGAGGACCATCGGCAAGCGCCACGAAAAGCCGCGGGCAAAGGTCGACCCCCGCTGCACTGCTCTCCGTCGATGAGGCATTCGGTCCGTGTGAGACACAGACAGACAGACAGACAGGTAGGCAGACACTTTACAAAGCTGTGCAGAGACGGGCAAGGAAGTCCCTAAGGGAGAGTCGGCATCCATGTGTGTGTGTGTGGTTGTCAATCGATGATTTGTTCGTTCTGTTTAGGCCTGTGCAAGATCCTGTTCAGCAAGATGTCTGCGGCCAACGATGTCATCTCGTCGGGCTCTGGTGGAGCTTACGGAGAGGTAATATACCTGGAGCATTGCATGCTCATAATTCTGTCTGTCTGTCTGTCTGTCTGTCTCGCTGCATGCCTTTCAGAACAGAGCATCGTCTGTGCGTGCGCTTCTGGACATTGCACGGGATAAGTACTGCCTCACACAGGTGCGTTCGATTCACGAGCAAGGCGCTTGCTTATCCTGGGATGGTCACGATTGGTCCCTCGTACACACCCATCCATCCATCCATGCACATGGGCGTTGGTTGGATGCAGAACTCGGTGTTCTTGGACGTCGGCAGCGGGAGTGAGTGAGACATTAACAGCTTGACTGGCCGTCGATCTGTCGGTGGCCATGTTGCTCCATTGTGCCCATGCATATCTCCCTCCTCCCCGCCCCTCCCCTGCCCTGCGTCTGTGTTCCACTCATTGGCTAACGTATGCATGCAGGGGGCGTTCCATCCTTCGTGGCGAGCGCCTACACGCAACGCGGGGCATCCTTGGGGGTTGAAATCGATGAGAATGCCGCTACTCTGAGCCAGAAGAACCTCGTCCAGCTGTTAGAAGCCATGTATGTATCTATGTATGCATGTATGTATGTATGTGGCGCAGGCAGGCAGGCAGGCAGGCAGGAACACACACTCACACTGAGGTCAACCAAAAAAAAAACGCAGGCAGGTGTGATCCATCTGTGTGTCCTTGTTCGTGTGTGTGTGTGTGTGTGGTGTGTGGTGTGTGCAGGCAGCAGAGGCAGGTTGAGAGCGGCATTGATCCATATGAGCACGGTGGGTAAGCAAGGAGAAAGGAGAGAGACATGTATGTCTCCTGACGTCCTGGCTGCATCCTACCGGCTGTCGCAACACATACAAACCAGTGTTTGCGTCTGTCTGTCTGTCTGTCTGCCTGCGTGTGGTATCTATCGGTTCTCTCCATCTGTCGATGCCGCGCAGCCCCTCCGCTGCACTGTGGATTTCTCCATGCAGGTACGTAGGTACCTACGTGGGGGGAGGCAGGCACAGAGGGAGGCACTCGGACAAACGCCATGGGTGTGTGCCTGCCACAGATGCTTGTGACCTTGAGAGCTTTGACCCCGCCACACACGTCTATTCCTTTGATTTCGCCATGCCCGCCTTCATGATCGCCAGATTTGTCAAGCTCTTCAATTCCAGCCATACGGCCTTCATTTATATGTCATTTAGGAAAGGTGCGATCGACGCGACAGACAGTGCTGTGCTGTGCTAGCCAGAGATAGATACGCCCATGCGGTGGAGACAGGCCCTCGTGAATCTGGGTGTGTGTTGTGTGTCGCCGTCTGTCAGATTTGGTGAGTGTGCATGGTCTGCGAGGGTGCCTCATGGAGTCTTTGCAGCTCTCAATGGCAGGTCGGTCAGCCGGTCACTCCCTCCCTCCCCAACCAACACGCGATGGGGCACTGGTGGTGGATGAGAGAGACCGAGTGGGCGTGTGGGGTGGCGTCGGGTGTGATGTGGTGTGGTGTGCAGGTTCTGGCGAGAAGCATTTGTGTTACATATATGGGAAGGGTGCGAAGAGCAGCACGTCGGCCATCAAGCCCACCAACACCAAATACTCAGTCCCATACAGACTCCCACGCAGGTCAGGTCAACGCAACATGTCAGCCGCAGTGTAGATGGGTGGAGGGAGGGAGGGATGGTCGATGGAGTTCATAGCATTACATGTGTGTGAAGGTCTGGTCCATCTCACCCCTCATGTATGCATGTACTGTACTGCACGTGTGTATTGTATGTGTCCATCCGTGTCGGTCGATCAACCACAACATACATATGCATGCATTGGTGTGCAACCATGTGTGTGTGTGTGTGTGTGTGTTTAGGAGTCGTCGTGAGGACAGGACCACGAGTGTGTGTCCGTCGCTGCAGTCGGTGGTGGACGCCACCTGGACTCCCACAGCTGAGCAGATAGAGCACGCCCGCACCGGCATCTTGGCCTGGGTGTACCACCATCCCCTCCGCCACTCACAGGAGAATAAGTACAAGAAGATGAAGGAGGAGGAAATGATCGACAAACACCGCCGCATGGAGCAGGAGATGGACGACAGCCACCCTCTCTCCAGCCCCTATAAAAAACACTCACACAAAGCAAAAAAGGACTCGGGCCGGTCTAAACACAGCCAGCAAGAGGTGGACAAACCAGGCCACGCAGCGGAAGGGACGGAGAGGGAGGAGGAAAGGGGCGAGGGGGGCCAAGGGGATCGTGCACATGCAGATGCACACGAGGACGATGGACACACCCCAGCCAGGAAGAAGGTAGGCACCGCACCGCACCGCACCGCACCGCACGCACCGGCGGGGGGGTGCACCACACCAGTGAGTAGCAGGGAGGGAGAGCAGCCACCCCACCCCACCACCAGCCTTCCTTTTACCGTCTGTTTCTGTGTGCAGCATCGCGGTCAGTGAGTGACGCCATCCATCCCCTGACAGACAGATGGACGGACAGACGGCCTATGCTATGTATGTCAAACAATCAGTCCCCATGTGCCGTCGGTCCTATGTGTGGACCGGGCCCCTCACTCACTCACTCACACAGGCACACAGGAAGGCAACCGGGCAGGCAGGCAGACACCATCAGTGTACACGTCGGATTGCACCGACCCGATGCACCCACAAACCCATCACACACACCACACACCATAGGTATTGCATGCAACATGAAGCAGACAGACCATGGAATGGGATAAAAAGAGCGCACGTCAGGGAGGGCATCAGTGAAGTCACGCGTGCATCGCCCTCCCACCCGTCACTCACTCACTCACTCACTCACATAGTAAGTAGCAGCCAGTGCCTACAATCAACCCCACCATCCATCCACCCACCCGCCCGGCCGGCGACCTACCTAGGTACCTACACAGCCGGGCACACACACGGCACATACGACACAAAAACTACCAGCCTGCCCTGCCCTGCCCCGCCCTGCCCAGGCTGACTTGACTCTCTTTCCCCACCCCCCCCACGTCCCCTCGCCTCCCCTCCCACCGCCCAGCCCCCGTGTGTATGGATGGGTATGTGTATGTGCATGTGGGGGGAGGCAGAAAGATAGGCAGACAGTCAGACGGATCAGAGTTCGTCGTGGTATGTGCTGCCAGCGCCCTTTTGGGGTTTGCCGAGAGCCCACATTTGTGATATCTTGCCGGCGTCATCGAAGGTTGTGACGACCAGGTGGTTCTCAATCGACAGGCTCTTGTCGGGCTTCATCAGGTGAAACGCCTGCTTGTGCACCACAGTCTTCAAATCAGAACCAACCTGCATGCACCGCACCACCACATAGTCACACACACATTCGATTCCCTACACTTGCAATGCTGGTTGCCTGGCCCGAAGTGGCTCTAGTGCGCGGGAGTGTGTCTGTGTGTGTGTGTTTGTGTATGTGTGTGGTACCGTACCAGCAGCAAGGTGGGAGCGCTTGCGAACCGTCGCGTGTCCTTGTGCTCAGCATACTTCTTGTAGAAGGCAATGTGCTCAGCGTGACCTGACACATCCATACAAACAAACATGGCCGTGCGCATCCATCCATCCGTCGATTCCCCGGCCCGGTGTCATCTGTCTGTCTGGTGGGTGACCTTTGATGGGGGCTGATGACCAGTAGGTGTGAGTGACGGCGTCGGCTGCGAAGAACTCGGGCACGAAAGTCTCAGGCGAGGTGATGTTGAAGTGCAGGGCGTCGAAGAACTTGCCCATGCGGCTCATCTGCAGCTTCTTCATCGCCGTCTCCTGCGGTAGGTACACGAGGGCACATGGGTTCGTACACACACACACGGATGGATGGATGGATGGATGTCTTGTGGTGTGGTGGATGGACTGACTGGTTGGCTGACCGTTTCGGTGGCGGATGGTTTCTCGAAGGAGTATTTGCAGAGGGCCTGGTCGATCATTTCTGTCTTGCTGGTCATGATGACCGACTTCATCGACTCGATAGTCGGCTTGTCCTCGTCCGTCAGACGCATCAACCGAAGCATGTACCACGTCGCCGGACACGGCAGCTGCGTACCCTGTGATGATGGCATGGGATGGGATGGAACCGAACACACCAGCCAACCAAGGCTCGGCACACATACATACAAGAGGCTCAGCCAGATGGTAAACCACAGCCTGTACGTGTGGTGTGTGTACGTACCTTGGCGACATAGATCTGCAGGTGGCCGACGGTTCTGAAGTCGCTGAGGAAGAAAAAGTCACTGTCCCGCGCAATGGCGACGCTCTCCATCTGCTCGTAGCGCGGCGACAGGACGCTCTTCCAGAAGGCCTTGCCCTTTCCCCGGTGCGTCACATCGCCGTCCGTGTACTCGATCTCTGATTTGTCCGTCACGCGAGTTAGCACCGCCTCCATCGCTTCCATGGGCGTCTTGCGGCTGTTGAAATCCACCAGCAGCTCTGATGGAATAATGAGTGAGTGAGTCCATACACACATAGCATACACACAGCAAACACGCAAACCGCAGGATAAGCAAGCGACACGACGGAAGCCGCCATCCCCCTCTGTGTGCGCGTGTGTCTGTCAGTCAGTCCCCCGCTCACCGTCGTGCCATGCAGCCGCCGCCTGGGGCGTCAGGGCCTGGCTGCCCACCACCACACATGCCACCACCACCAATACAGATGCGAAGCGGGACGCCATTCTTCGGGATTGCAGGCACCTTCCTCACTCACACTCGACCTTCGGAGGTGAATGCAGCTGCAAAAAAGCCACGGAAGACGGAGATCTCTCAGGCCTTTCTGCAAGCTTAGCTCGCAATGGCGCAAAGGGTTTGATGCCAGCAGCATGGACAAGGCTGAGAAGAGGAGTGCAGAGGACGGGTTGGTGGAGTATCGGAGGTCGTTCATCGAGTTTGCCCTTGCGCAAGGTGTGTTGCGGTTCGGTGACTTCACGGCCAAGTCGGGTCGGCAGACGCCTTATTTCTTCGACGCTGGTCGGTTCAACACGGGTCATGCGCTGACGTGCCTGGGGCGTGCGTACGCCGAGACGATAGTTGCCTCGGGCGTCGAGTACGATGTGCTGTTCGGCCCCGCCTACAAGGGCATCCCGCTGGTGTGCAGTGCGGCCATGGCGCTACACACACACCACAGCCGACCCTCGCCCTACGCCTTCAACCGGAAGGAGGCCAAGGACCACGGTGAGGGCGGCATGATTGTGGGGACCCCCCTGCAGCGCGGTATGCGGGTACTCATCGTCGACGACGTCATGACGGCCGGGACGGCGGTGCGCGAGTCGATGGACATCATCAAGCGGGCGGGCTGCCACCTGGCAGGTGTGGTCATTGCCCTCGACAGACAGGAGAGGGGCAAGGCGGAGGCGGAGGGAGAGGCCGAAAGGGGCGGGGCGGCACCACAGTCGGCCGTGCAGGAGGTGGCGGGACAGTATGGTGTGCCCGTCTTGAGCATCATCACCCTGCAGCACCTCATTACATACCTGGACGAGTCCGTGTCGCGCAAGGACGAGGGCTACGAGGACCTCGACAAGACACTCAACCGCATCAGGCAATACCTCGACAAATACGGCGTCGTGTAACCAACGCAGGCAGGCAGGCAGGCGATCGAATCAATGAAAATGGACGCCATTGACTGGGGATGGGATGGGCGATTGGTTATGAGGGGGTCCTGTCCGCCGCTTCTATCTACCACAGTACATACCTCAATCAGGTGTCCGCCAGAACAGAGAGAGAGCTTGTGTCTGTCCGGTGTGCGTGTTGGTGGTTGGCACATAGGTAGGCAGGTAGGTAGGTAGGTAGGTAGATGTCAGTCGGATCCACTAACATATTTGTAGCTGCGACTCCATCTTCCCATTGCAATGACTGCCCGTGTGTACGACACTATCGCGAATATTCATGTGAGTGAGCCATGTGAGTGAGCATGGACGTCACGTCATGCCCAATTAAGTCGTGGTCTGTCCTCCGGTGCATGGCATCAAAAGACCCTGAACCACTGGCGCGAAACGGAAATTCGGCCCGGGGGCAGGGAAGAAAGATGGAGAGTTCCGACGCAGCGGAGCCTGAGAGGACCTTCAAGACAGACCTGTAGCCACATTCAGACACAGATCTTCATCCCTTCTCAACGTGTTGCCTTTCGTGTGCACGTGTGGTGTGTGTCTGTGTCCACAGTTGGGATGGGTTTGAGTGTGTGTGCAAGAAGGTTGAGTCGGGTCGGCGGCTGTGCGAGACGTTCCTGACCATCATGCGCGACAGGATGGCCCTCGAGGACACATACGCGGCCGGCATGGAGAGACTCGCTGCCAAGTGCCCCAAACACATCAATGAGGGCAGGTCAGTCAGTCAGTCAGTGACTGCTGTGCTGCCCACACACACGTCTGCACAGCAGCCACGGCAGACACACAGACACCACAGACAGACAGACAGACAGGGAAGAAGCCGAGACCTGTATGTATGTATGTCATTCAATGATGTGTGTGGTTCTATGGTTGGTGTGAGTGCAGCACTGTGCTCCGTGCTATTGGGTGTTTCCGCAACGAGGCCATCCGAAAGTAAGTAGGGGGAAGCAACCAAAACAGACAGGGAGGCAAACAAGCGGGATGGATGGATGCCAGGCGGCGGTGTTGTGTGTGTATGTGTCAGGGCCGAGCAGAGCCGTGAGTTGGCAGAGGGCATTCGGGATGATATAGTGCAGCAGCTGCAGGAAACTGTCAAGAACCACCAAACCGTATTCAAGAAGGTGACCGACTGACGCACACACAGGCAGTGCAGTGCATTCACAGCATACACAGCTGGGCGTGTGCATATCTGTGTATGTGTTCATGTAGATCTACAGCGATGGGGTCAAGTTCATCAAGCTCATGAACGGACACATACAAACACACGAACGGGTGAGCATCAGCATAGCGGGAAGGGGGTGTGGGGGTGTGGGTGTCAAGGCGACGGAGGGAGGCCAAGCCAGGCAGGCAGGCAGGCACATCGATAGACACATGTATGGATGGATGGATGTATGTACACACACACGTGTCGTGTGGTGTGGTGTCTGTCTGTCTGTCTGTCTGTCTGTCCTTGTGTGTGTGTGCCAGGCAATGCTGCGTTACGAGAAGACCTGCAGGGAGGCAGACGCTACCTGCATGGTAGGGATGGATGGTTGGTACACACAGGCACACACACACATCCGTCCTTGGACAACACCTGCTTCCCTGCCCTGCCTCCCTCCCCCCCACCCTCCCTGCCTGCCTCCGTCCCATGTCTGTCTGTCTGTCTGTCTGTCCAGAATGCGCAGGCTAGTGACCGCTCACCGCCGCCCCTCAAGACCAAACTGGCCATCAAGTCAGTCAGACACACAGACAGACAGACAGACAGACGGACAGCCACCGGTGTTTTGTGAGTGCCCCATCGCTCACTCCCTCCCTCCCTCGTCATGGCAGGGCACTGCAGCTGTGCAAGGAGGCCCAGATAGCAGAGGAGCAGTATAGACATGCCCTCGACGTACACACACACACACACACCCCACATACACACATACGTACGTACGCGGATGGCCTCTGCGTCTGTGTGGGTGTCTGATAGGCGCTCAACAACGGCCGTCGGACGTTCCGCCACCAAATGGTCAGTCAACGAGGGAGGGAGGGAGGGAGGGACAGAGAGAGAGGGAGGCGGCCGGCTACGGTGTCTGTCTGGACGAACGATGTCATTCACGTTGACGACGCCTGTGACTGTGTTCCTGTTGTGTTGTATGGTATGCAGACTGTGGTGCTTGACGCGCTGCAAGATATGGAGGAGAAGCGCATCCAGTGCTTCAAAGACGCACTCAGGAAACTCATGGTAGCAGGCACACGCACACAGAAGGCACATAGCGTGACTGACCACTGGTCATCGATTTGGCGCGCGCATTTGTCGATATCAGGTGTACCAGACGTCTTACGTCCGCAATATCCAATACGACCTCGACATCACCATAGAGGTCACCACAACCACCATGTTGTGTGTTGTGACCTTTTCCTCCCTCCCTCCCTCCCTCCCTGTCTGTTTGTCTGTATTTGTCTGTCAGGGTGTGGAGGCGATCGACCCCCGTGCAGAGATCTGTGAGTACATCGACAAAGTGGCCAGCGGCAGGCAGCCGCCACACGACAGCAACATGGTATGGTATAGACGGACGGACGGACCCACACAAACAGGACGGCGGAAATAGATTTCAGGTGCCCATGTGTCTGTGTCTGTGTGTGTGTGTGTGTGTGTGCAGCTGCCGTGGCCGGTCATCACCGAGTGGCGTGTCCGCAAGGCGGGTGGTGATTTGCTGGCGGCCGGTGTGGCGCCCTCCACCCTCCCATCGTCCATGAAGCACCTGCTGGCCCCTCCTGTGCCATCCCCACCCATACCCACGACGACCACACCACCAGTGGGCACACAGACCCCCGCGGTGGACCCCCACACCACACAAACAGATGCCAATGCCGCACCCGATGCCGCCAGTGAGGCATTCAGCGACCTGGCCGACCCCGCCACCAAACCCAAGCCAGCAGAGGAGGGGGACGAGCCGCAAGATCAGCAGCAGCAGCCGCGGCAGCATCCCCAGGACCCCGCGGTCGACCACTCGACTGCGTGTGACGACTCAGCGGCCGTCAGTGCGGAAGCCGACTCGCATCATGGGGCGGGTGAGAGCGGGGCCGGTAGGGAGGATGGTGGTGGCATTAGTAGCGCATCGCCTGCCCCTCCGCCCCCGCCGCCGGCCAGTGAGGTGCCCAACCATGTGGCAGTGCCGCCACCGCCACCCCCTCGACCACAACAGGGGGCACCTGCCGCCGCCGCTGCTGCTGTCGGTGGTGTTGAGCGTCCGTCGGTGTTTCCGGCCAACTTCAACCCTGCCGCCACGGCCAACATGCTCAGACACATCACCAGGTGGGCAGACAGACAGGGAGACAGGGAGGCCGAGTGGCATATGTGTCCTGCGTCAGGACCACTGGATTGGACAGGCTGGCCGATTCAGCTGCAGCACTGGTACACACTCATACACACACACAGTCTCTCTGGTTTGTTGATTGAAGCAGTGGGTTGTGTGTTGAATGTGTGTGTTGTGGTGTGTTGTGATGTGCCAGGGCGGTGGTGTGGGTCGTGTTGGTGGTGTGCAGCAGGGTGAGGGGGCCGTAGAGACCATCCCGGACACACTCATCATGGACACAGAAATACAATACAACGCGTAAGTAACCTAACCTGCCAATCACACATACATAAGCTCGAGACACCACACCTATGTGCTGATTGCCAGTCATCTGTCCGTGTGCATACCTACCTGTGTGTATGTCAGTGTGGTGGACTCGATATGGGCTGACAAGGGCATGACAGTGGTGGGGTTGCGGCCTGACCGACTGGTCAACGACCTCCAGTCGGCACTCAAGCGGGCCCTGCTCATCACAGCCATCAGCAAGAAACGAATCGACAAGAAATTCCAACTCCCATCCAGGTGGGTGGGCCCGATGAATAGGGGCTTTGTTGCCGATAGATACACATCTACCCATCACTCCAGCCATCCGTTTGCTGCTGGTGGTGTGTGTGTGTGTGTTTAGGATAGCGTTGAAGGAGTTGGCCATGGTGTGTCAGCCGTTGCTGGACTGGAGCGACCGCCAGTTTGACGTGGCCTGCGGCCGCACACTCATGGTCCTCTCACAGTTCTTCTACTGCATCGACCAACCCACTCCAGAATCAACACACTCACAACACACTCCTGAGGCCGGGGAGGTGGACGGCCTTCCTGACAGCGACAAGGGTGCGGATGCTGGTGGGGAGGACAAGGGCGAGAGTGCAGGGGAACCGTCAGCCAGCACCAGCACCAGCAGCAGCGGTGTGTCGTCCCCTGAGGTCGACAAGGGCGGCGAGCAGCCACGGAAGGTCTTCCTACAGGTCCATCAGCCACACAGCGACACTTGCTCACTTGAGGTGTCTGTAATTAATGTGTCTTTAATGTGTGTGTGTGTGTGGGTGGGTAGACGTTGTTGTATCACCATGGTTTGTGGAACCGGGTGCAGTTTTGGGAGGAGGCTCTCGTGCTCTTCCTCAGCGAAGAAATGCAAAAAAACATGGTCGGTGGGTCGGTGGGTCGGTCACCCTGCACACAATAAAGCACCGCACCGCACCGCACCGCACACACACGGCAGGCAGGCAGGCAGGCAGAGAGGGAAGTGTGACTGACTGACTGACTGGTGGGGTAGTCAATCCACTTGTGGGTGTGTGTGGGTGTGGGTGTGGTGGCCTGTGTGTGTACATGTATGTGCAGTTGAGCCGTCGTTGGCGCACGAGGACTTCAGAGGAGCGTGAGTTGGAGGACAAGAACTTCAGGGACCACAACCCATGCGCAGGCATGCTCTACTCATTCGGTGGGTAACCACAACACACACCGCTGCAGTGCATGGATTGCATCAGGACTGGTTTGGTTCCTTCCATTTTTCCTTCCAACCTGGGTCGGTTGGGTTATTTGGTTCCTTTGTTTGTTTGTTTGTTTGTTTGTTTGTTGATTCCTTGGTTGGTTCAGGCAAGAGCATGGTGTCGTTTGGTATCGGTCGGCCGGCGGTGCGTGACCTCATCACCAAAGTCTGCCTCAACTACGACGTCGCACCCGAAGTCCTCACCAAACTACTGGTCAGTCAGCCACCCCACCCCACCCCACACACAGCCAACTCAACCTCAGCTGGATGTCAGTCAATGTGTGTGTCTGGGCGTCTCAATGTGTGTCTGTCGTGGCCGGGCCGGGTGCGGTGTGCAGGAGGGGTTGGAGGATGTTGTGGTGCCGGCTGACAGCGTGCCCAAGACCATGAGCGGGCAGCCCTCCGACATGGCCCCCAAGCCGGCCGATGCAGGAGATGTAACAGCCATGGGGGAGGAGCAGGGCACCTCCACACAGCAAACTACTGAGAATCATGATCTTGTGACACTAGAGGAGGCTGAGGGGCAACTCTCACTCTCCGCCTCAGACTCACATGTCTTCGAGGCGTAGACTCACATACAGTGCACACGCTAGCGTGGCGTAGTGTGCGTGCGGTGGCTGGCAGAGCAGAGCAGACACACTGAGTGGTTTAATTGATTGACCCAGACACTCGCTTAGTTTACTTACATGCAGATGAGATGTAGCACTTGCGTAGCTGGCTAGTGTGTGCGTCGGGTCGGGGGGAGCAGACGGGTGGTTTGTGTGTGACCACTGAAGTAGTGTCCTTCACGCACAATCAGCAAGTCCTCAGACATGCACAGACCCTTGGCACAGACACATTCTCAGATGTGGATCCCGAAGTGGATTATTTGCTTTGGTCATGCGTCCGGTGTTGGGTAATCACACTTCGCAGCCATATGTAAGCAAATAGCATATGCAAACTCGCGAATGCGATGGAAAAAATCTGTAGCACTCTGAAGCAAAGCTCGCATATCGATCGACTCTAAAGATGCGTCGTCTCGCCGGTTTGTGGGCCCTTGCAGCATCGTACAGCTGCTGCGCCGCTGCCAGATCTGAGATCGGTGCGTATGTGAGCCCCGTCACACAGCCGCCATGCGGCGGCAGATCAGCAGGAGGTGTGATGAGGATCTCTCGCCGGCCGTCCTCCCCTGCTGCTCCCCAGCCGCCCCCGCTATCAGCCGTCAGTGCATTGCCGGCTGCTGCGGCATCCCCCGTGGCAGCTTCGGGAGCATCTGTGACTGTCAAGGGTGAGTCAAGACTTAGTCAGCCGCACCAATCAATCAGCCAGGGAGCAATAGCCAGGGAGGGGATGACAAGGCAAGGCAGAGGTCTGAGTGAGTCAGACGTCGACGCATGCACGTGTGCGAATGAATGGAACCAACCGTCGATTGTGCTTGTGGGTGTCATGCATGTCAGGCCTTTATGCCCTACTGCAGGTGAGGTGCGTGTCCGAGTCCCCCCTGAGCGTGTCAGAACAACGAATGATTGGCTTGTCAGTCATCCGTGTGTCCGTGTGTGTGGCAGGTCATCTCAGGAGGCGCCTTGGCTTCGATGGCCGACGCAGGCGGCCTGCTCTCGCCGGACGACACCAAGTACTCTGTGCCCTTGAGCAATCAGACATCAAGCAAACAGGGGGACTCACACACTCCTTACCTGTGATTGTGTTGTGTATTCAGAGCTCTTTCAAGGCTGTTCTACAACGTGTTTCAGCCATGCCTGCTGTTCGTGGCCCTTGCGGAGAGCCTGGCACAAGTGAGGATGGATGGGCACAGACAGGACAGACACCACGCCCAGCCTACCTGCTTGCGCTCCTATGTGTGTTGTGTTGTGTGCAGGGTGGCATGCCTGTGCGTCTGCTGTTGGTCCTGCCCCTGATGGCCCTCATCCACATCATGTTCGGCTTCATTGCCGCATTCACCACGGGAAGACTCACTGGGTGAATGCGGGGGAGGGAGCCGGGGAGGCAGGCAGGAAAGAAGGAATGGATGGCGTTCGGGTGGATGCGTGGTGTGTTTGTTGGAAATGCAGTTTGTCAATGGGCGGCCGGGCTCAGAAGGAGCTCAACATCCTCACAGGTCAGTCAGTCAGATACATACAGGTGGATTGACGGGAAATAAAGTGTGAGTCGTAGCTGACTGCGATTGAATCAAGTCCCCTCCGGGTCCGTCCTAACTGTACGTGCAGGCATCGGGAACGCAGCAACGATCCCGTTTTTATTTATCGATGCGCTTTTCAGAGGCAGCAACAGCCCCTTACTCTCCCCAGCCCTCGCTGCTGCGGCCGTCTACCTTCTCACCTGGAACCCCATTCTGTGGAGCGTTGGCAACGCCATCCTCTGCGATGCATTCCCCGACCACACACACGACGGGCAGGGCGGTGAGGCAACAGCGGGCATCGGCGACCTGGCGAGGTCGGCTTTTCTTTCCCCACCTGTCATCGCCAGCGCCGCCGGGCTAGCCGCTGGCAGCATCGCACCCGTCAGGGCTGCCCTTATCGGGGCAAATGCCCCGCTACGGTTCATATTCAGCTCCCTTCGTTCTATCGGCGGCGCGGCGTTGCCGGCAGCCGTCATAGTCCTGGGCGGCGCTCTTAGCCGGGCGCTACGGGAGGGCGAGGAGAAAATCACACTAAGCAATGTCCTACAGGTAAGTGAGTGAGCATCAAGACAGACACGCGGGCGGGTATCCTTGTTGGCTGATTGGTTGATTTGAACACATAAACAGGCCCTTCGTGTGATTTTTTCGAGGTTTGTTATTGTCCCTGTGTGTGCATTGGGCGCTCTTCGTGGATTCGAGAGGCTGGGGCTGCTCACTGCTCAGGACTCCATGGCGAGGATGATAGTTCTCATGACAGGGTGGGTGAGTACATGTCTGCCTGTCTACCTGGCCGGCCATGCACACAAGTGTCAGGCATGTTGTGTGATATTTTGTCGTGTGTTGTGTTGTGTCTTGTGTTTAGGTGTGCGATGCCGTCGCCCATCATCTACGTGGCGATGTTGAGGATCGCCGGTCAGGCCAAGGGCGCAGGAAGGGCGGCCAAGATGCTCGCAGTAAGTGAGCAGACACACATGCACAACAGTGATGTTACATAGGCAGGCAGGCAGGCAGGCAAGGCAGAGGGAAGGGACCGAGGAGAGCGGGTAGGTGCCAGTAGAGTGCGTGCAGTGTCTGCAGTCTGTCGGCGGGGGTCTGGTCTGTCTTGCAAGTACATGCATATCATGTGTATGTATGTATGTACAGTGGACATGAGGACCAGTACTTACAAAGATGGAGGGGTGTGTCTGTATGGCTGTATATGTTGTGTGCAGGTGCAGTACATGATGGCGCTGGTGCCCATGGCTTTGTCGCTGTCCTGGGTTCTCAGGGCAAGCGGCATAGCGATTTGACTTGCGAGCGGGATTTTACCGATGGCGCATGAATCAATCAAAGCCTAGTTGCATGCCGTGTGCATGTGATGGTATGCCCAGCCACTCGCACAGTGTGGATGTAAGGGTGTAATCGACTTGTGCGTAGATCAATCAGTTCATCACATTAAGGCTCCTGTAGAGCTGCCTCAAACGGAGGAATGCAACTCGGAGCCGCAATCGCGAGTTTTCCTTTCCTCCCTCTCCCCTCCCCCCATTCGAGTTTACGGCCTGGGCGAGCGACCTAGCCAGAAGCTCGCGGTGGAGGGGCGCAGAACCCAGATATAGGTCAGGTATATACATGCATTGTCCTTAACTGAGGGCGGGTTCATCATTTGTGCTGCATCCTCCCTCTCTTTCCTTGCTGCAGATCCGCCCGGATCCTGACGGGCGCCTCGCCGTGGTGAGCGGTCGCCAGTTTGCGCCGTGTTGGACTATCCAACCACCGGTGAGAGGGAGGGATAATGCACGGTGCGGGCGCGCCAGGAAGGAGGGGAAGAGGAGAAGGGAAAAGGATACGATACCTGATCTTCGTTCGCCATCGTTGTTGTTCCGCCTTCCTGTTGCAGATCTCCATCTCCCTCGGCTGCTAAGAGCGGTCGGTGCGGCAACGCCCCTCACCCACCCCCCATCTGCCACATCTATCCGCCCATCTGTCCATTCGTCCGTGTGTAGGTACCCCTGTCCCGGGTATCAAGGCCACCATGACGGTATCCATTAGCTCCACCCTGTTGCTGCTGGCTGGCATCCTGCTGGCGTCCACCCTCCTGTCCTTCCCCCTCGCACACGCCGACCAAGTCGCCGAAGAGGCCGCCGACGGACCTGACAGGCGGACCCGCAGGAGCGGCAGGGTGTCGAAGCCGTCGACGCCATATGATCGGCCAGGGGCAGCAAAGGGGAAGAGAGGCAAGCTCACCGCCGAAAAAGCACGCCTCGCACTCGAATCAGTTGGGATGGAAGCACCCGAGGCGGCGGCGGGTGCCGGGGCCGCACCGTCGGATAGAATTCCACCCCGCGGTACGCACGACACACCACGCCATGCATATCATACGCACGTGTGTATGTATGCGTGGGTTGCCTGGCGCAACGCGGACCTTCCATGGATTGGCTGACTGACGCACGGACGAATGGACACATGGATGGATGGATGGATGGATGGATGTGCAGAGCAGTGCCTGATAATTACGTGTTCGTTCTGGCTGGTGCATGAATTCATGCCCCATCACTCACTCACTCTTTGGCTCCCTGTCTGTGTGTGCGTGTGTGTGTGTGTTTGGCAGATGAGTGCCCCAAGGTCGACCCTGGTGCCATGGGGACTGGAGTTCACCTGGCGCCGCGTTCAGATGGCTCAATGCCCTTCACCATCTTCCACTGGGTACACATGCATGCATTGCATGGATGAATGGCATCCCATCCCACAAGGCAGGTGGGGTGCACCGTGCACCATCCTATTACCTGGCCTGGTGTTATCATACCTATTTGTTGGCTGACCTGACTGGCCATATGCGCACATCCATCCTCACACCCATCCATCCATCCATCCACCGGTATATGTCTGTGTGTGTGCATTATACGTCAGAATTTGGATTGGATGTTTTCACCCAATGCCCCGCGCGCCGAGTGGGCCAGGAGTCGTTACGAGGGTCGTGAGAAGGAGGACCTCATCAAGGAGTGCCCACAGAGGTGGGAGCCGGGCGAAGAGTGCGACCACTTAGATTTCAGCCAAGAGCTCGGTATGTCAACACACACCACACACACACACACACACAGGGGCAGACACTGAGGTTTTCTCCCGTCCGCTGTGTATGTATGTATGTGTGTGTGTGCATCGTGCGTCCATCTGTCTGTTTGCTTGTCTGTGTGTGTCAGAGTGGCCGTCTGGATACTCTTTCAAGTGGACGCCCGGCGAAACGGGCCGGCCGGAGACGGAGCGTTCCACGCCCTGCACCGGGATGAGGGTGCCGGGCGCCGGTCTGATGCACCCCTGCATGAAGCAGTGGGGCCGCATCAAGGCCACCGGCATGTGGATCCGCTGGCTCTGGCAGCAATACCAACCCAACGTCATCAGCCTCAACGAGGTTCGTAAGCTACAGAGCCACTCAGGGTGGGCCACGTGGGGTGTCGTGGGGCGATCCATTGATGGTGATGGGTGGGTGGGATGGACGGATGGACCATAGATAGACCCATGGATGGATGGATGGATGGATGGACGGACCAATCAACCAGCCACTCACTTCTTTCTGTCTGTCTGTCTGTGTGTGTGTGTGTGTCTGTGGTGCAGATCGACGGGTGCACCACGTTGAAGAATCTGCTGGAGGCCTCCGGGCTCAACAACCCCCAGCTGACGGGGCCAGGGGTCTTCTGGCCGTACCACTACATGGGCAATGACTACCGCAGCAACCAGCAGGTCGGTTTCCTCACCAACCTGCTCCCAGAGACACATGCAAACGAACTAGCCGCGCAATTCTATTAAGAACAGCACACAGGACACTAACGGACAGACAGACAGACAGACAGACATGGGGAGAGGGACAGGGAGAGAGGGAGAGGAGAGGGTATGCATCACTGTCTGTTTTTCTGTCTGTCTGTCTGTCTTTCTGTGTGTGTCTATCTATCTATCAGCCACAAGGGTGTGGATACCAGCGATTTCCCTGTGACGAGCAACAAGGAGTGCCAGCAGTACTCTGGTCACGAGCGCGGCAAGGACTACAACTTCAAGAAGCAAGGAGCCATTGGCCTCAACAAGAACGTCATGTTGGGCGTCGACGTATACGGCCGCAAAATCGCCCTCCTTACCGTGCACCTCAAATCCATCCCCAACGGTAAGACAGACAGACAGACAGACAGGGACAGTGGATCTATCTGTTCTGTGTCACCCACCGGTGGGTGTGTCGTGACGCCACCTTTACATCCATCCGTTGGTGGCTGGGGTGGCTGGGGTGGCTGCAGCGCCGGCCAACTGCATGTATCGAGAGGTGGAGGCCAAACTGATTGACCAACTTATCACGTAGGCACCGTCCCTAGCGCGGCACACGACCGCCAATCCCACCCCCCACCCCCCACCCCCCGCCCCACCCCACCATCTCTCTCTCTCTCTGTCTGCGTGGTGTGTGTGGGTGGTGCCCGCCTGCCTGCCTGTCTGTCTGTCTGTCTGTCTGTACAGTTCGGAGATCCCTGAGGGTTACGAGATCATCCTCTTGGGTGACTTCAACGACTACGACGACAAGGACCCGCTGACGCGCGACATGCGCCGCGTCCAACGGGAGGGCCGCTTCTTCCAGCACCCCAATTCCCCCCCCGACCCCGCACTCGACCCAGGCAAGCCCGACACGCCCTACATGGACTCGACGCAGGACACATCCGTGAAGGGCAGGGGACCAGCCAACTTCGACGACCACAGCAAGGCGGAAGAGCTGGACGCCGAGGACGAGAGAGAGTACTACCGTCTGGTATCGGCGGATCAGGAGGAGTCGCAGATGTTCGTGGAGCTCGAGGCCAACACGACACAGGAAGAGTGCGAGGAGGGTGAGGGTGGCGAGGGGTGCGCCCTGATGGGGTCGTCGTTCCTCGAGACCGATGAAGGGCCCCCGCCCCCCGGCGACGAGGACATGGAGGTGACCGGGGTTCAGCAGGTTCAGCCCAAGAAGAAGCGCGCACCGCCCAGCGTTGACCTCTACGCCAACAGCTGGGTCTTCCAAATGATCAAACACGGCTGGCCCTTGTGAGGCGAGCCACAAACATACACACATCCATGCACACATGACCCGTATGTGTGTGTGTATTTGGCGAGCACTTGTACATGCATGTCTCCTTGTGTGTGTGTGTGTGTGTGTGTCCCCCTGCATGTCTGTCTGGCTGCAGCGGGCCCGGCCGCCATGGGCATCGTCACAACACGAAGAGGGAGATGTTCAACACCAATATGGCCCTGTCGCAGGACAAGCGCTGGTCTCTCGAGTTCATGAAAGCAAGCCAAACCCGTGCGGGGCAGGTCATTGCGTGGCTGCCCCAGCCATTCATACGTTCATACATACATGCGATGGTTTGTCAATGTCAATGTCAATGCAGGTCAAGACGCAGATCGACTTCATATTCGTATCAAGGGTGCGGTGCTATATCAGTGGCCCACACCCACACCCACCCACGCACACAGACGCATTCATCCATGTCTCTCTCCCTCCCTCCCTCCCTCCCTCTCTCCCTCCGTGTGTGTGTTTTCAGGACTTGTTTCACTGCTTGAAGACCTTCAAGATCCTCAACCCAGACATGGCGAGCGACCCCGACATGGCGAGCAACCCCGACAAGCCATACTTCACCAGCTACGGCGCCAGCAAGGGCTTCAAGGGCGAGTAAGGCGCACACACGCCACACAGAGACACAGAGCTTGCTTACCCACGTGTGTGTGTGTATGTATGTATGTACTGTGTGTATGTATGTATGTGTATGTATGTGTGTGTATGTGTGTGTGTGTGTGTGTGTGTAGGGACCCGTCGGACCATTTCCCTGTCGTCGGTGAGCAGCACATAGCACACACAGACACACATATATCAATCGCATCGCTGCACATATACACAATGAATGAATGGACGCGTGACGTCCCGCCATGCGAGTTGTCTGTGTGTCTGTCCTGTGTGTCAGCGCATTTCGACTTCAAGTTGGGCGGGTGCGATGCCATGGCGGGACCGTCGGGCGCTTACTACAGAGAGGCCGGGCGGGTCTGCAACATGGGCGGCAGGGAGGTGCCCTGTAGCATGGCCAAAGAATAAACAGATAGGCAGACAGACAGACCGGCTAACTGACAGAATACAATACAACACAACAGAGTGGTGATAGGTAGCCATACGTACACATGCACACGTAGAGGGGGTGGCTGCGGGTTCAAAGGGCGAGTTTTTCGTTCAGAAGGGATGGATGGAATGGCTGCTGGTGTGTGATTTAGGGGCGACTGCGTGTGGAGTGGAGTGGAGTGGAGTGCAGTGGAACGGATGTGTGTGCGTGGGCGTGGGCGTGTCCAGAGAAGGTGCGCATGGCTAATGAGTGAGTGTATCGGGGCTGCGTGTGTGCCGGGTGCTGACCAAACAGAGCGACACAAAGGACAACCGCCACGGATATTTCAAACATTGAGGCTGGGAATGCGTTGGTTGTGTTGATTGTGTTGTGCGTCCAAGAATCCTTCGATCACCACACGAGCAGGTCGACTCGCATTATATACCATTATTCATTGCAACACATTGAAGAGACGAACAAATGAACGAGTCGATCAGCATGGAATCAGTCAGTCAGTCAGTCAGTCAAGGAATGAGTCGATGGGTCTGGCCGGACCGTCCGTATTGACACACAATGATTAATATGTATACGTACGTACGTATGTATATAGAGCAGCAGCAGCTTCATCAGTACACACACAATGGGTCGATCATCTATCTAATAGCATAAGGTGCACCGGCCGAGGGGCGGACCGGTGAATTGCGCACACATGGAAGACATGCAAAGCGACTGAGTCACACACCGATACATACGGAATGAGTGAGTGAGTCTTTCTGGCAAAACGCGCACAAAGGTCCCATCCTCTGTGAAGAATACACATGCACACGAGCTCCATGAGCCGATCGAGTAGCGTTTGTATCCCGCCAGACAGACACACACACCCCTCCCCTGGCCCTCTTCTTTCCACTCAGTCAACCAGCGCTCGCTATCCGCACCGCGAACACGTAAGTCAGTCTAAGCCGGCTCGTCTTCTCTCAGGCAGCCACACATGCATCCATCACGCCAGGCGGCCGCGGCGTGCTCACGTCTGTCTGTCTGTCTGTCTGTTCGTCCGTCTGTGTTTCCCACTACCCTCCCACTACATGGCCGTCTGTGGTGTGTGTGTGTCTGGTCATCCATCCTTGTTCCTCTTCTATCTATGGCCTTTCCCCCTCAGCGCCATTGCTGCTGTCCGACGCAGACGACCCGTTGACGTGGGTGGCCGCCACGCCGTTGCCCGCCTGCTGCTGGTGGAGGTGGTGGTCGCCGCAGGGTGTGGATGCGGGTGAGAGGCCCCGCGAGCGCGATGATGTGTTTGATGGCGACAGGGCGAGTGAGTCGACAGAGGGGGGACGGGGGCGCAGCCGGGCGGGTCTCTCACTGTCACTGTCCAGGTCCAGCTCCTCGAGGTCAGCGATGAGCTCCTCATCCTCCTTGTCGGACTCGGAGTGGCGGTCATTTGGGTGTGGTGGTGCTGGTGAAGCGTTGCTGTCACTGCCGTGTGACGGCCTCGGTGGTCCTTCCGGTGCGTGCGATGCGGATGCGACAGGACTCGCCCTCAGCGAGGGGCCTTCAATGGCGTCCACGTAACGCTCCTTGATCCCCCTCCCAGGGATGCCTGCTCGTACGTACGTACGTACACATGGATGGATACATACACGTGTCTGTGAGTCATGTGTGTCGTGTCTTGTTGTGTCGTGTGTGAGAGTGTGAGAGTGTGTGCAGGCAGCCGGCGCGTACCGTTGCACACGAGATCGTCCGGATTGAAGACCTTGATGCAGGGAATCCGCCACTCCTGCACAAGCACAAAAACACACGTACACTGACCGACTGACTGTGGCAGGCTGACTTTGCTGGCCAACTGCACCAGCATCAGTGACTGCATGGGTGCATGTGTATGCGTACCGTTCCGGATGCGTGTAGCTGTGCTGGTCCGGGTGTGTCGTCGCGCACAGTGAGCATGCGGAAGCACGGGTCCAGGATGGCCAGCCACGACTGCCGCTGCTGGCTCACGCCCTGCTGACCCTGCAGCTGCTCACGCAACCTGAAGAATACGACGACGCATACGCATACACAGACATAACGAGGGAGATATCCGCGGGCAGGCGGGAGGGTGGGTGGGGGACGTACGCTGTAAGCCAGACATTGTCACTGTTGTAGACTGCCAAGAGAAAGACACCCGCGTCGCTATCCATGCACAAAGCCAACCTAAACGAAGAACGGACCGGACCCACCACAGACCGACCGGCAAAGAGGCGTCGGCGGGATCGTGTGGGCTCATGTGGTGAGTACTGACTGACATGGGGTTCAGGATCATTTTGGCTTCGATCTCTATGGGGATCAGGTAACGCGCAACCACAACGGTCGACGGATTGTCGCCCTCCCTGCAGCCAGCCAGCCAGCCAATGCACACATGCTCACAGAATGTTCGTGCTTCGGTTGTCGCCCGCCTCTCTCTGTCGTCAGTTTCTTCCTCCTTCCCTCCCCCACTCCCTCCCTCCCTCCCTGGCTGGGATACCTGAGTGTCTTATAGCCCATCTGTGTGACCTGCCCCTTATTATTCCCTCCCTCCCCCTCCCCGTCCCTGTCGGTGCTGTCCCCGCCCCCCACCCCGTTGGCCGGCGACCCATCTGTGGACTCCCCCATGCCCACGTCCTGCCCGTCGTGGTGCGAGCTGGCCGTGCTGCCGCTGCTGGGAGAGGCGTCGGGGCTCACACGCGACGCACCCTCGCCATCCATGGTTGTGGTGCCCAGCGGTCGCGAGGCCACCTTATTCACATCACTCGTGGTGGTGGTGATGGCAGGTGTCTTGGTGTTGCCGGGCCGTGGGGGCTTCCCTCTGCCCCTGCCGCTTGTGGCCGTGGCGGTCGCTGTCGCTGTTGGTGTGCGTGATTGGGTGCTGGTGGTGGCGCCGGCACGTGTGACGGCAGTGGGTCTAAATTTGAGCGGCAGTCTCGGAACGACGCTTTGCTTGATGACTCGGAGGGAATCGCCCACTTGGCGGGCCTTCAGCCGACACTGCATACAATACACCGTGATAGTAGGCGAAGTGCACAGACAGACGCACGTGAAGTGTATATCAATCACCACCTTGTTTTTGATTTGTGTGCCGATCTTGGTAAGCAGTCTCGCGTGTTGCTGGTAGAGCGCGTCGGCACCGGCATAGGGGTCGATGACGTGACACTGCACACCCACACGTGTACAGACGGGCAGGGCGATACCCGTCCACTCATTCTATTGTGTGTGTGGTGTGTGTACCCTTTTCCAAGCTTCGATGGCCCCGTTGTAGTCCAGCAGGTATCGGTAAGCCTCGGCCCTGTTGAGCCAGATGTCGGGGTACTCATGGCCGAGCTTGCCAAACAGCATCTCCTACACACACAGATACATCATCACTGCATTTCGTGGATGCCGGTGGCTTGCTTGTTTGCTCGTGTGCGTACCGCTCGTGTGAATGCCTTGAGTGCCCTCTCCATGGACGTCCTCAGGGCGGCCTCCGACTGCACCTTGGTCATGGTCGCCTCCATCAAATACGAGTTGCCTGAGAAAACTGCACACACTCCCACACATGACAAATCGATCGTCCCTCTGAGCGAGTGGAATGTTGTATGCATTGCCACTTACACCATGAGAAGGGGTCGTCTAGGTTGAGTGCGAGTGCCTGTTTGGTCAGTGCAAACGACTTGTGCATGTTCTCATGTCGCTCGGGGCTGTTGCCTGTCATGTCAGGATGCAGTCAGTGCGATTTGCATCAACACACACGAGAAAAGACAAGGAGGGAGATACACCAGTAGGATGACGTGCAGGTGTGTGCTGGTTGGTTACCCTCTCCTATCGTCCTCATGACCACAGCGAGGTACCGCAGCGGCTTAGCGTCACTAGAGTCCTGATGCACACACACACATACCGACCCGTTATTTTGTGGCGTTTGTTATGTTGCTCTTTCCTTCCTCCTGGCTGACCAGTTTGATAGCCCTTTCTAGGCAGTCCCTGGCCTTGAGCATATCCCTCTTCTTGGCATACGTGTGGCCCAAAGACGTCCACGCATCACACAAACACGGATCCAACTTAACCTGACAGACAGATCATCCACACGTGTACGGTGTACAGACAGATACACTCCCACATCGTTGATTGCACATTCAGACAAGCGGTGTACGTCTGTCTGCTTGCACACCGCTTTGGTGAGGAACTTCTCGGCCTCTTCTGAGTAGTTTTGCTGGTGCGCGTCATGTGCCCGGCCTCGCAGATAGAGCAGGCGGGCCCGATCAACCACACACGAGCTACTCGAATCACCAGCACCAAAGGGAACTGACACACACGACAGGCAGGGCAACGATACAGACAAAGAAGGAAAGAAGGAGTGAATGAGTGACATGCACCCTCATCTCTGTTCGCTTCGGCGCCTTCCCTCTGCATCGCTTGCGAATGCAGTCTGTGTGTGTGCGTATCATGGTACCTGCGGCGACCATGTCAATGAGTGTCATGATGGCCTGCAGCTCCTGCTGTATCCTCGACTCCTTGTCACTCATGTAATAAAACTCGCATATCTCATCCAGCGCCCGCACACGCCTCTCGACCTCCTGCAGCAGCTCCGCTTGCGACGGAACCGGCGCTGGCTCACTCATCAAGCCCGCGGTCGCAGCACCCTTCGGCTGCCCCTCCAGCAGCCACTTATGCCGTTCGGCAGGATCGATCCATTCATTGGGGGCCTGCATGGCGCCCCCAGTCTCCCCCCCGCCGTTCTCCCCCCGAGCGATGGCGGCTGGCGAACCCGTCCTCGCTGCCATCCCGAAGCGAGCCACACAGCACGGATTGTTTGTGCCGGGTACAGACAAGCTATTTGCAATGAGGTTTGTTTCATAGCTGACTCTCTCACTTGGTATCGTTCCCCACCATCAGCGTGGGAGAGGCCGGTGCTGTGCTACTTTCCCCCCAAGGACCGGGCCATCTACACCGCTCTTGCCGCCACGAGGCCAAGGAAACCATCTCTGCTCACCGAGGAGCGCTCCAAGCTGTCCACATACATTCGTGATGTATGTAGGCCAGCCACGCGCCTCCGTATCCGTCCATCGGTCCTTCCTTGCCTTTGCGTGTCGTGTGTGTGCAGATCAACAATGCTGTGCATCCTCCTGACTACATTCGCCCTCCAGCCCGTGAGCCGGCTCCACAACTCGACGAAGGGCCTCAGACAACAACCACCGCCACCGCAGCCCAAGACAGCCAGGCCGGACTGCCCCGCATTCGTGCCTCGACTGCCCCACCCGGCGGCCAGCGCAAATCGAGCGAGGGTGTGGGGAGGGCACGTGAGAGCGTGTTGATCTATCCCACTGGTGGTGAGAGGCCGGCCAGTCTCCAGGGCGTGGCTACGAGGGCGATGCTGCAGCATCGACAGGCGGTGGAAGTCGAGAAGGCCACCAAGAAGTGGATGAGTGAGTCGCATCGGGTGACCAAGGCCGTTTTTGACCAGGGGAGGCACGTCCCTTGGCCGAGGTCAGCTCATGCAAACACGCGGAGGATGAACGATGCACTCATGTCAGCGGTCAGTTGGTCGGTCGGCCGGTCGCTGTGTCAGGTACAAGCTGCCGACGTATCAGCCGGCGCCCCTGCCGACGTGCCTGGCCCGAACGGTTCCCCAAAGCCAATACACCATGGGTACTGAATCACTGGATTACACTGTCATCGATGCACTTGTCCAACAAAACATCAGAGTTTGGCAACTACGGATCGAATCCCCGTGACAGGGTAGGTCTGCACAGCATCCATAAGCAGACACAGGCTGTTAGTGTCGAAGTCTGATGTCCCCTGTTGATATGATTGGCAGCTGTCGTACTATGCGACGTTGCTGCCTAAGAGGAGGGACGAAGTGACGTAAGAGATGAAGAGAATCAAGCGAGACATGTATGTCTGTATCTTGTGCGGGGGTCGGTTGACAAGCAGCATCGGCACAACGAAAGCCACCCTGCACATACCAGGATACTCAGTATGAGATCGATCATCTGTCTGTAGTACATGGATGTGCATGATGCTCGTGTCTTGTGTGTTCCCTGGCTGTAGGGGTTCTTGTCGTCAAGTGCCAAGCGACTGCGTGACCCGCCTACACCTGTCCCACGTTCTCTGCTCCGCAATAGGGACAACCTTGTGGAGAACTAGTACGTACAGGAAGGGACATGAACAAACGGAATACGCACTGGCTGTCCTGGTCATCTACTGCACCGATTGGCAGCTCACATTTTTTGCCGAAGTACACTGGCTATCAGCCAACAGCCGCCCAAAACGACAGGGGGTACACAGCAGACAGCCACGCGACATCCACAAACGTCAATATACATGCCCGAACGCCCTGTCTGTCTGTCTGTCTGTCTGTCTGCCTTTCATTCTGTCCGTGTGGCGTGCTTGGTCTACGACAGCCCCCCCCAGCCCACGGCAGCCACGACCTCGGGTTATGCAGCGCAGGAACCGTACCGTGTCATGCTCAAAATCAAGGACGCCCAGACCAACTGACTGACTGATTGCCGCACCGACTGACTGACTGACACAGATGGGTGCTGAATGGCGCCTACGATGCCTGGTTGGCCACTGAGACAGGCGCGGCGTACACTGCGCCGTACACTTGAGCGTCTGCTTGTGCATCGATTGTCGCTGTGTATGAGACGCTGAGCGAGTGAGTCAGTGCAGGAGAGAGATCTGAGTGGTCGGCATTAGACACACTCCGCGTGCATGTATATTATAGGTCGAAAAGCGCGTGGTTCCCTCCTCAATCTGCCGTGTGTAAATTCGCACCCTGCGAGCTAAGCGTCCCTCCTTCTCCCTTCCCTCCCCTCCCCCCCCCCCCC